ACAGTAGAATGACAGAAATGAGGTATGTCACCTGGAAGTTATGTTGCTATACTGTACTAAAAAACAATAGATGTTCCTGTAGAGTGCTGCAGGAATGAGTCCTATAACCTGGAAATGAGTCTACACTTTTGCTCTTCCACTTCCCTTGTCTTGAAGTCATTGGGTTTTTTTAATGGGTTTTTGGTGAGATGCCTGAAATGGTTAACACAAGCTTAACAGATGTCTAGGTTTTGTTCAATGATATAAAATACATCAATAAATGTCCCACTCTTGAATTTTGAAGTTTTTAAGTGTCTCAAACATGGTGGCTGCTAACAAGTGGCTTCATGAGACTACAGAGTTTGCCAGGGCATTAAACATCATTATGCTGAACAACAGGATTAGTGGTGTTGGCATTGAAGTCATGCGACTGTGGTGTAGTTCATTTATGGCCCAATTGTAGCTCAGAAATCTTAAAAAGTGGCTTCCATTTGTGAAGATTATCTTGCTGAACTAAATGTGTAAGTATCATTAACTTTTGTTAGCCACAGAGCTTTTTTTTGGCAGTAATCCAAAATCCAATGGGAAAATATCAGTGGCTTTTTGTTGGGTAACCAGGGTGATGCAAACTTCTGGGCTGGCCAAAAAAAAAGCCCTTACAAGCCCTTGAAGTTAGTAGATCTTGGGGGAGCTTCCCAGTGGTTCCTCTCAGGGAGTCCCCAGAACTGTTTGGTCTGACAATGTCCATTGTCTTATCAACCACACTGGCTGTAATCTTAACAAAGTTCTTGTATGAATTTTTACAAAGAAAACAGTTTCAATGGATACTTTTAAGTAGGACATATTGGCACTGATGTCTTTACAACAATGGCATTGAAGTATTCACACTTCTTTACCTTATAATTCTGCAGTCAAGGACTCTGAACAGAATTAGTGAAAGTATTTTGCTTAGCAACAGACCTTCTCATGAAAGAATATGTGGGTAGATTATGTGATACAACAATATGTAGCCTAATATAGATATATGAAATTAACTTACATTGAAGGGATCCTTCATGGGGGTTTCAAAATCAGATTACACGAGAAAGGCAGACTATTCCAGTTTCTATAAAACATACCACGCACAGAGACAATTGTTTTTAATGGAAAAAATGATGGCCATAAAAAGTCTGATATAATGAGAATCTTAAGGATATAACTTGGAGTGGAGTAAGGATTTAAAGGCACCATGGCCTGCTCAATGTGAAGCATCAACATCTGGACTCAAACAACAATCAAATCTGGAACCGGCAATAAATCTTAAATTTAATGTAGCATTCCCCTAATATCATTCAATCCAGTTCAGAGCAAAAGCCATTTCCTATCAGTGGAATCAGTTCCTTTTTCTGACTGGCTGCAGTTTCGCAGTAAATGGATGGCTTTGATTTCTAGCCTGTTACTCTGCTCAATCTATGAAAGCTGTCTATTGATTTCTATGGCAACCTGCTCGCTCACATCAACCACTGACAACAGACAGAACAATGACATTCATCACATGTATAATGATGGGGGGATAATGTGTTTATGTGAAAGAGAGCGTGAGACAGGAAGACACAGGGAGGGAGAGAGCATTAAAGAGCATCTTTACAGTGTATGGTGTGCGCACACATACTGTATATACCCAAGTGATTACTATGTATGAGTGCGTGCGTGCGTGCGCCTGTGTTTCCAAGCAGCCGAGAAGCGAAGCAGAGGCTGACGTCAAGCAACTGACCTTGGGTCTGGATGTGTTTACTGCTGTGTAAAGTGTCTGTTCTGGCCAACGGTGATGCAGCCCATGAGTCTGGAAAACGCTGGTGTATGTGTGTGAGGCCGTGCCGACACGCCAAGCGAGCACAGCACACACTGCCACCAGCCTTGTAGGGTGTTACACTGACGCCTGCATACGAGCGGACAGAAATAGAAGCACACAAAGCTTCCTACACACGCACACACTTTCATATTTCACACTTTCAGCTGGAGTGCTAGACACACAGTCATAAACATCCAATTACCACCGTGGTTTTGTTTATCTGTTGATTATTAGGAGAGAGAATTCTTCCCTTCCTGCTGAAAGTCTCTGTGGTGTTACATTATTGATGACTCGCTGGGTGGTGGGGGAAGCCAGTGGGGTTTTTGTAACTTTATTTTGTTGATATTTTCTTATGCTGTTGTGTCATATTGTAGATCTCCTGCTCTGTTGCTGTTTACTGTAGCTCCTTCAGGTGACATCACTCAAGAGATTGCATCAATTGTCAAGTTACTGAAGGTGACAGCTCTTTTTTCTGTTGGGGGGTAAACAAAACAACAGAAACACTTTAAAATGCAATATCACGTTGTTAAGTTGGTAAAACTTGTGATATTCATGTCTTGAGAGGTAGACCGAGGGCCCACCTGTGGCTACTATTCTAGTGAAAAGAATGCATTTCAAAGATATGAGCTTTTCTACGGCAGTAGCCATCTTTTAAGCTTGATGACAGGATACATTTGAGAGGATCCAATGGGTTTAAAAATGGTTTTAGGGCACCTAAGGCAGGAAGGTGATTTTTTTAACCAATTCATTATCTGTAACCCTTTATCCTGTCAGGGGTTGCAGGGGGGCTGGAGCCTATCCCAGTTGACGAGGCAGGGTACACCCTGGACAGTTTGCCAGATTACAGCAGAGCTAACACATAGAGACAGGCAGCCATTCACAAACTGCTGGCTGATTTAACAGCAGTAGCTAGTTGGCAAATTGAGCTAATTGCTTCATTCTGAAACACTGAAAAGGTACAGTCTTTAGTACAGAACTCCATATTTTGTTTCTACCCCCCCACTCTGGCTCAGCATGGACAGATTGTCCAACTAAGACTCTGAAGCCTCACGTTAACTTTAGCTAAAGTTCGGACTGTATTTTTGCCAAAAATAACTTTTTGTCTCCCATCACTTACATTGGGATTTCTTATTGTCCAGTATGAACAAGACAGCTTGCTCCTACATAAATACATAGAATTACCATGACCTCTTACCACCACATTACGTGGTAGTGGCACATGATGTGTTAAAAAACGATACAAGAAACGATACCAATGGGGAATCAATTCCTCTGTTGTGGTGGAATTTCCTGGTTTAACAATATCACTCAATGGATGGTGGTTCATGTTACAACCCTGTTAGCAATTCAAAGAACAAGGAAGTCCATGTAGGCAGATGATCGTGGTGGTGGTTGGGTCAAACAAACACAGGACTTTCACTCAGACATCGCTGTTTATGTCCAGTGTAAAACCAAGACTCTAGAGTCTTATAAAAGGAGGTTTGGGGTTTGCCGTGGTAGTTTCTGGTCATATGGCTGGTGGTTTTACTGAATTCATACAGAGCTGAAATTCTGGGGATACTGACCTCTCTGACCCTTCTAATTTTATCCACTTTCTGTCGGCATGCAGCGAATGCATCACTGGCGAAAGTCTCTGCACGAGAGAAACGCCATGATTCATGCAAAGTCTTTTTTGCCTTACTGTGATCTTTTTATGGTATTCAATTTTGGAAATATGGCTTTCGTCAGTGAATGTCTTCAGAGAAAAATTCCACCCTTGCATCAGTCTGTGATGTTATAGTTCTCAGAAATTTCATAATTAAAATGTATTATATTATCAGATCTTCAGGTTTGATCGTGTTTTGTATGCTGTGTCCCCTCAAACTTCCATATCATGTTCAAGTTATCAGTAAGACTTTTTAAAAACTTAGTAATAACTAGCAACAAGTAAAGAAAAAAATCAAATTAATGGAAATCAGTGGTTGTTTTAATGATCGGAAATTAACCTAACAACCAATAGCATACTATGAAAATGAAAAAAATAACAGGCCTAATAATTATTTAGAACCACCTGTTTGGACATTAATGTCTTTCAGTCAGCGTTTGTGGTCTCAACATTAAATTCATTTTGTGACTTGAGCCCTCATCACATTAAACAAATCCAGTGTTGTGACAGCAGTTGAGAGATTTACTGTCCAGTTTATTTATACCTATAACAATCAGAAGTTTCCTTACTTTCCCTTCCTTTATTTAATTTTACCTCCCTGTACTTCCCTCCAACTCCCTCGGTCTGTCCAGGGCAGGGCACATCTCCCAGTGTTTGTCATTAATCATTGTTTAAGAACCTAGTTGTGTTTGTAGTCTCACAGGGACTGATGAATCACAACCTCAGAGTGGTTAAATTGTCGCAAATCAGACATAGGTAACTGCTGAAGTTCACCAGTGACTCATGAGTGATCCTTACTTCACACTCCACACATTACCCAGACTAAACACACACACACACAGAGTTTGGAGAGTATGAGGAAACCTGGGAAACTCTCTCTTCCTGTTGTCGGGCGCTGTGCCCAGAGGGGTTTCCATCTTGCTGTGATGGCTGAGGGACAACTCTGGGTAGCCACATATGAGGACAGCATGGTCTACACCTGGACATTTTTTTAATAATCTACAGTAACGACACCTACACTCAATAAAGCATTAAGCTTCTGAGATGCTAGTCAGGCTAATGTTGAATGTAGAAAGGTAATGTCGAGCTAGAGAATTTTGTATTTCTGGGCTCCCACAGGTGTCTGTGGATTCATATCTAAATATGAACTGGATCAGTTCTTCTGATTCTCTGACAAGTTGAGGAGAGGTGGGGGAGCAGAGCTGCCAAGCGTCAGGCTTTGAGTGTGACAGTCACGCAATTTGACCCATTCTCACACCACACGCCACACTTGACATTTCTCACGCTTATATTTCCCCATTCAATACTCTATATTTATTTTTTTCATGATAATAAACTTTGGTCCTCGCGGCTTGCTGTAGTTCGAGTAACTCTGATTGACTGACCGCGATAACCAATCCCAGACCAATCCATCAGTCCTTTGTGCCTAAATCTAACCAACCACGGAAGGCACCACACAATATAAACCAATCAGAAGCAACGTAAGGCGGGTCTTGGCGTCTCTACCTTTCTTTCACACACAACAGCGCCGACATTTAAAACCCACTCGACGTTCTCCTGCTTGCTAGAAGACGGACGGTAGGTAACTACCCAATTTTGTTCACTGTTGATTCGCTGTTTCTCCTTGAGTTTCCCAGTTAATATGTACTGTTTTAAGGCTGCTATAAGTCAATAGTATAATAAGTAAATCATTGTCCTGTATTTGTTGCAGAGCTATGTAACATTTATTTGCCTCTTCTCTTGGCCAGTTCACACTTGAAAATGAGACTCTAACGTTAGTCTCAATGTGTGTGTGTGTGTGTGTGTGTGTGTGTGTGTGTCAGAGTTACAGACTTGTAAATATCAATTTAGACCCTCCTAAAGCAGTGTTTCTCAAAATTCTAAATTTCAAGGTCTATCCTTAACTCTGACAGTGTACAAATGGAACCAAATGGACCCCAATGGGTCCATTTGGTTCCATTTGTACACATTTGTACAGACCTTGTAGGGTCAATTTAGACCCCCCTAAAGGAACCCACAGAGTCCCTGGAATCCACTTTGAGAACCACTCTAAAACTAGCATTAGGAGGCCACAGTACAGGGAGAGCCGCTGGCATGGAGGTGAGGACATCAGTCTTAAGGTATAAATCGACGTTAAAACAGGCCAAATCGATGTTAAAAAAAATGTTTCCGAACGCATCATGACACTAAAGTCTCACTCTTGTCATTTTCTGAAACTTGGCAGCCCTGGGGGAGTGTTTTCATGATGAGTGTACTTTTTTACTGTGTAATGCACAATTCAAATGAGATCCTCACTAGACCTCCTAAAAGCAACTTCAAAGCAAATCAAACAAGTAAATCAAAGTCAGCCACAGATTTTAGGATTCTTGCTCATAAAAAAGCAGTCACTGGAACAACTCATTTTTCAAGCCTCAGAAATAAATTATGTACATCTATTGAGCAATTGCTTTTAAATGACCAAGATCTATCTGGCAGGGGATGACTCCCAGGTTTGTTGCTAAGGGTTTGAGTATTTAGTCTAAACTTTGGCCTGGCTACAGCACTGCAGAGGCATATCTGTCTGTCAGTGGAGCAGTCAGCAGTCCTCAGCTGGACTCTTAATGCTGGGTCCTCAGAGTCCAGAGAGCCAGTCAGCTGAGCCGCTAATGGGTCCCACTCCTACCATCACCTCATAACTCAGCTTCTGGGACAGCATGGTAAGAAAAAAATGGATGTGAAATCCCTGTGAAGATTATATTTTCCACCCTAACAATAATCATATCATGTATGTTCTGCTGCTGACGATTGCTGCAGCAGAACATACAGCCATGCTAGCAGCTCTGTGAGGCTGGACTCTGGGGCTTTGAGTTAAATGCTAACTTCAGCATGCTGACATGTACACATTGACAATGCTAATATACTCATGTTTAGCAGACAAAATGTTAACCAAATTTGTTTAGCATGTTAGCATGCTAACATTTGCTAATTGATTAGCACTAAACACAATGTCCAGGTGAGACTGATGGGAGTGTCATTAGTTTTGCAGGTATATAACACAGTAAAATTTTGACTAGATGGTGATGTCAGAGGGTTGTTGGATGTTTAATGGCCAATATATGTGGAGTAATTTCACACAAAACCAACATGTCGAACCTGATGGCGCCAGGTAAAAAGTCAAGTAATCACCAAAGTTGGTAGGTTTCATCCTCTCAGGACCACAAATGCGTACAAAATTACATCATTATTTATTCAATAGTTGTTAAGACAGCCTCGGTCAAGGTGGTGGACTGACAAGTGTTGCCTTCCCTACCCACTGTATCTTCATACAACTGCTAGTATGATATTTCATGGATTAGCGCCCCACACATGGTGTCATCGCATTATGTATAATGTTGAGTTACAAAGTCTACTTAATACATACTTAGTGTAAAGTTCTTAGATTAGGTTTAGGCAAGTAAAGTTATGGAGGTTAGGTTTAGAAAAAGAAACATGGTGACAATGTACCTTAAAGTAGCTCAAAGTTCACTTGCTATCACACAGTCCTAAACATAGTCCCAAACATTGGTCTCCTGGGGGTAAATCCACCCATCCACCATCCCAGTGGTCTAGTTAGGGTGTACGCAGGTAAAGTATATCCACCTATCAGCCAAATAGCTATTGGAATATAGAGGAAAGTATAACCACTTCCTCCTTGGCAACCTACCCATCTACGGAGTAGTAGACCCACCTTGTCAACTACCCCTACACCACGGCACCACCCCAACCTGCCTCCTTACTCAGACTTACCTTCTTACCGTAACTCCCATCAGAGCATTGGTCACAAGATCACAGCCTCCCTGATTATGTGGATTATTCATAAAATACTGGCTCATGATAACGTGTTATGTACAAGTTGTGGTTCATTACTTTTTGTAGGTAAACGTACAAACAGTGCATGAGAAGAGCCTGCCACACAGCCTGAGTGGCTAAAAATCTGACCAGGTCATCTGTACTAGCCTACTGGAACCACTAAATGACAGCAAGCCATTTATCCTTACACTGTAATATTCTGATTTCTTTCTACTTTTTTTTTTTTATTATAGATGGCGCATACATAAAAAGACACATATGTAATGCAGAATTTATACAGAAGGGAAAAAGACATGGATTGGCATTTGACAAAACAGACTGAATTTCAGATCGAGAGGAAGTTATTTATTTAATGCTGGAATGGCTGTGGAACAATGCCCATGTTGAATCGGACCCATCTGCACATGGGTAGTCTTTCATTTATCGTATAAATTATATATATTATCAATACTGAAGTACCGTTTGTTTTGTCTATTTGACACTTCTCTGACCCAAGTAACCCACAGTACATCTGTAAGATTTCAAACTTTTGTTTCAGAGATGTTTGTCGTGTGATAACATATTGTAAGAATGGTTCAGAGCACCACCTATTACATCTTTCCTGGACAGCCGCTTGCTCTTCCATTCCCACAGCTCTCCCATAGCAGGCCTGCTCTCTCTCACTGTTGTGTGCCAGCTATTTGTCTAATAGCAAATAATTTCTCTTCTTCTGAAAACCTTTGATGCTGTTGTCTGCTTCTCTCCTTTGAAAAGGGGACATATCAAGTATGTGTTTTACGCAAACTCTGACCTTTTGCAGTTAAGGGGTCAGAATATTCCCTCGACAGACAAACACAAAATCAAGTATCTTTATATTGACAAGTCTAAAATGTAATAATATGCTGCAGTTTTCATTGTTGGCAAACACAGCGCTATGTCTTGTTCTATTATGTGGGAAATAAAACAGAAGAAGACTGGTATCCTTCAATAAAAAGAGGAATAATCAACCAATTTCAGTCTGGGCTGAAACTGTTATTGTGTGCAGGGCAAATTAATGGAGGGAACTTTTATGTAACACAATGTCACAGTACAAGTAGTGACCTTTCATGACAACAATGCAAATGGCACAAAGCAGACAGGTGGCTGAGTGAGTACCAAGACACCAACCAGGCCAACAGGGAAAAGAAAATGAGAGCATTTGTGCAAAGTGACCTCGCATGATCAATCTGTCTGTTCTGTTCATGAATTCATTTTTTCTGTGACTCTCTACCTTGTCTCTACATGCCACATAGCTCGCCCGTGTATTTACTGTGTGATGGAAAAGAGTCTTGTTCCCTCATTTTTCTTCCTGCTCGCCTGCTTTTAAAATGCAGACAGACAGCTGCACTTCAGTACCTCAGGGTTTCAGCTCAAGCACAAGAATGGTCTTTTTAACCCGCTGAGTGCTCCCTTCTTTTAACAATTGACACCACTATCTTTACCCTTCTTTCAGCTACAGCCTATGGAGGGGCCTTTCCCTGACCGTGGAAACAGGTTTGAGTTACAGTGTCACCGAGGGACTTCCATGGGTTTCCAGAGCAGGTCCATGCAAGCTGTGACTGACTCATTCTAACTCAAACAAAAGCAGGTGCTGCTTTCAGAAAGATTTATACTTTATTGGCTGGAAGCAAGTTTTGTTTCTAAAGTGATGTTTTGGACTGGTGTTTTTCATGATGCACCAAAAGAAAGTAAATGAAAGCTTTTCCTTCTGTGTCCCGGTTGAGCACTGCTAGTTGAACACCTTTGGCCAGAATAACCTTCCTCATCCATCTTGCTCTCTGGCAGCAGCCACTTGGAAAACTAGTATACTATGTCTGAACCAATAGTTCTTCCCCAAGGGCATAGGATTTGTTTCAATACTGGGGAGGTCTTTGGGATTCCTCTATCTGATTTTTTTAATTCTATGCACCAATTTGTGCCTTTTCTGCATTAATAAATTGTATAAATGTCTTTACTTTAGGAGGGGTGGCAATGCACATGTCTCTAAATGTTGAGGGGGAGGTGTCCCTGCATCCCACTTGAATACTGTGGTAAAGTTAGACAGTGACTTTAGTAAGTTGGTATTCATGTTGCTGTGCTTTCCTGGTGTCCACAGGCTGCTAGGTTCATGTGTGGAAATGTTCTTCTCCCCTCACCCACTCTATCATCTCAGCACAGCACTGCAAAGGTTAAGTGTGATTACACTATGGAAAAAATGAGCTTATTCATCCTGTTGCATGTGTTTACTTTTACCAGTGCTACTGGGAGATGTCATGTTATCGCTGAAAGAATTAAGGTTCACTCGAGGAGACTCACAGCCACCACATGCACCATGTGTTGTGTGGTCACCATCCAAATACAAGCTGTTGTACTGTGTGCAGGAACATGTAAATATTGTGATCTGAGGAAGAAGGCATGAATAGGAGTGCAGCTCAAACATCAAAATGTGTAAGGGAGGTTTTCACTAAGCTGTAATGTTTACAGGATCCAAACTCTTTTACACAGCAACTGTGCACATCTGAAACAGCATTTTTTTTTTTCACTTTTACTCGCCTTTCTGTCACAGTCCAATATTTTCTCTGACTGATGATATAAGACCACTGCACAGGGAATGCAAGCTTTTTCAAATCAGATTAGTCAGCATATAAAGTAGTGTGCCCAACCCATCTGTCATATTGGTTTTAAAAAAGTATAATTTAATTTACAGTATATTACCTGTCCTGATATCAAATATTTGTACCACAGCCAGGACAGGTATCTACTTGAACAAGAGTGTAATATATGAACTGTATGGGAGTGTGTGTGCGTACTAAGTGCATTCATGCGTATGTGGGCATGTACACACCAGTGATATAATACAGTATGCGCACAGGCACGTATTGCTGCATGTGAGTGTGGACATGTGCTATCAGTGATTCGTGAACTGAATTTGTAAAACCCAAAGAACCCGCAGAGAGAGGCACAACCAACCATCCTAACCTTGTGACACCACGCCAGTCTAAGGGCAGCTATATTAATGGTTAACACATTTACAAAAGCTATATAAATTAGTTATAAGGCCTTGACACAATCATGTTTTGGTTTGCTAGGCTAGGAGAAATGGCCTTTTGCCAGTCATTAATTTCTTCCTGGTGTGACACTGGGCTGCAGGGCATCTGGACTACTATTCTTTTACGAAATCCTGCCAAAATACAACTGCAGGCCTGCTGGGTTGTTGTAAAAAGCTTTTCTTAATGACTTGATAAGGTTTATGAGTGCAAATATGATGGCCCATTAAAAAGTTTCTTAATAACCCCTGGCTATTTGTTAAGTATTCATCAACATTTGTAACTGCATTACTATCAAACAGTAATATGCTGCCAAGTTATTATTTTATTAAACAGAGCAGATTATTGCATGAGTCTTTTTAAAGCATTATTGATAGATTTTTTGGGGGGATGGAACAGCATCGCACTGTTAAGCAATCTGTAAGGCGATCTTGTTGTAGAGGCTACATGGGGTATTGCAACTTCATAGATCATCATGTGAAGCACACTGGCCAAAACATTTTTCTTATAGAAAACTACTGTAATTATCAGTCATTGCTTACATTTTTGTCTGAGCATAGCAAATCCCCTGAAATATTTTATTTATTTATTTATTTATTATTATTTTTTTATCAGACATCCAGTTGAATTTGGAAAGTCTATCAACACATGCATGCAGGACCCCCAACGGACCCTAAAACAAAAGAACATGAGAAACCCTCAGACACTTTTTTGATGTATGCACCCAGTGAGCAACTGACTGGGGTGCCATCTTTGGACACAGTATCCTTTACTCCTTAATGCATTCATCCATTTAACCACCCAACAGACACAGAGCAACAACAGCACACATATGGATCTGTGTTTCCGCACAGTACAATATTTAATCTCATTTTAGCTCTGCTTTGGTCTCCTCCAACTCCTGAGGAAATCATCTGGCTCTTTAGCTGCTAAAGGCTCCTGCATGTTCACAAACTAGTTACTAAATTTGTCAGAGTGCTGTTTGGCACTGAGCTGTTAGCATACAGTTAGCACATCAGATCTTGGTTATTGAAAACAGGTGAACAAGAGCAGTGAAACTGAAGCAAAAATAGTAAAGTTGTAGGCCATAAAACCAAAACAATGAGGTAAAAGATGTTCAGTGTATTCAGATGGGTGTAGTCTTTGTTGGTTTGTCAGTACAGGCAATACCTTTCATATTGTACATTGTGATTGTTCATGTAAAAATATTAATTAGTGCAGCTTTAAAGATCCTTTTTAAATAGTGCTTTATTAAAAAGAGGTATACGGTGTGGTTGTTTTATATTGTTATGTAATCACCAGGCTTTGCTGTGTCTCAAAGAGGGAAACCTTCTCTCTACAGTTGACATTTTGCACTTGAACAGCCATACAGCATGAACAGGCCAGAACTTTTTTTTTTACAGTAGCCTCAACAGACCAGAACACAATGTACTTAGACTTAGAATAAGTGCTTACAGATTAAATGGTATCACTTCTCTTGGTGATGATGATGCAAGTTGAGAAAAATGTGGACAGAACCAAAAAGTAAATCCAAACAACTGATGACAAAGTGGATGGATCGTAAGAACTGCATTCTGTCGGCGTGAATTTGTCATACTTAAAGGCCACAGACGTGGTTGGCTTTCCCATGAAACCCCAAATCCCTACAGTACTCCGATAGTCTAAGTTCCATTTGAAAGCTTCTGTTTTCAGTGCCAGGATTCGTATTGCACAATATTACAGTCTGAAAGTACCTGACAGAAAACCAAGAAGCTGTCTTGATTGTCTGATTGTGAGCACTAATGTTCCTTGGTTTGGAAGTGTCCTGTTGGCAGGGTCTCGCTGTCGAATCCGTCTGGCCACTGGGGTACACAATGTTACAAACTTAGAAACCAAGACTCTCCATAGTATTAGGCAATCCCTGTGTTTTTTGTTACGTCTCCATGGGCCCATTTGCAAAGCCGCTGCCATGTTTAACAGAATCCGATCTGTGAGGCTGAAGGTTTGTGATTGGAGCCAGAGATTCTGTATTGGTTGGCTAATTGTAGGTGATGGTGTTTCCTGTTGTGGGAAGGGACATGCTGGCTCGATCACAGCGCAGGGTCGTTGCGGTCACGCCTAATAAGAAGCAGAATTTGACTCCTCACATGTGGAAACCGAGCACACGGAGTCATACAACATAGGGAGGAGAAGGAGGATGGAGGGAAGGGTAAAATAAAACAGGTCACCGCAGATATTGGCATGAAGAGGAGAAGAAAAGAGAGGCATTGATCCCTTTATTGTTTCAGCTGAGGAGTGTCGGCAGCCAAGAAGCTTTAGACAAAAGCTCTGTGGTGGGGCTAAGTGTCTACAATTATAGCACCACATCATAAAAGAGGTGAGAACTGTATGTGTGGTTACACATGTCAGGAGAGATGAGTACAGTGTAGCACCCATCCTCTGTCAGTTTTATGTGACTGTGGTTATTGCAGGTATTATCACTGCACTAGGAGACAGTCAGTCGACGCCTGTTCTCACTCCATTGTGGTTGGAGCAGAGGGACTGCTGTCCAGCGGCAACATTTCAAAATACATATGAAGTGAGTTGGTTAACTAAAGCCATGGTGCAGAAAAATGAAAGTCTGTTCCAAGGAAAAGGTACAGCCTAATAGCTCAGAAGACCAAATTTTGTCTTTTGTCAACACTTTTTTTATTCAGCTAAGCTCAACAGTTCTTTAGAAGTTCCCTCGCATGCTATTAACATTAGAGTTTATACTGAAATTGTAGTGTATTATCATTCACTCTGAAGTTTTTGAATGACCAGTAAGGGGCCCAGGGTCAGAAGTATATATGGTCAGGGTCAAGAAGATATTTATGGACCAGGGTCAAGGATTGGTGAAGTCCAACTAGGGTGACTCTCTGTTGTCTGTTTGACTTTATCTCACATTTCACAGAAACAGCGAGTCTATATAATGGGAGTAATCTGGGGCTGTTTTTCAGAAAAATCATTTTCAGAGTCATGGCTTTCAGTCAGTCTATTTGAATCAATAGGCCCGCTAACCAGCAGATGCTCCACAAACTATAGCCCTCCTCACAGACCGAATCATCATGCACTGATTTGTGAGGCAGAAACTCCCGACACCAGAATAAATCTGAACCCCAGAAACTGATAAAACGCTTGTTTAGCTCTTGGCATTGCAACGGCAACCGGACAAGATTTAGATGCCGCTGGCTCTCTCTCTTTCTGTTCTCTCTCTTTTCCCTTTTCGAGTAGAGTCCTGTAATCTCTTTCTCTCTCCCTCCCACTCCCCATGTTTTGCTTTCCAGATTTTTCTCTGGAGTTGTCAACATTTGAGCAGTCGAAGACCAGCACGGCTGGATCCCAGAACAACAGCAACAGTCACATGAGGGCCTCAGCGTGAACCGGGCCGGCCCATGACCCGGAGCGGGACTGTAACTCAGATACAATGACCTCATGAAGCACAGGGGAGCAGGCCTGTTCTCAGGCAAAACAAACCATTTACAGGACGAAGCAGAAACTGTAATCATGTGAAAAAACTTTAAATGCATTAAAAACTGAAGGGAGAACTGACACTGGTTGCTTGATGTTGTTGTTAAATTTCCACCAGCCTTCTAATGACTGTGTTGAAAACGTGTGATTTAAGGGATCCTTGAAAAACTGTCTGCTTGTTAACAGGGATCAAAGGAATAGCCTGACATGTTGGGTAATATGCTTATTCGATTTAGAAGATCAAAACCCCTCTCATGTCTGTGCATTAATGGTACCGAAGCTAGGAGATGGTTAAGTCAAGTTAGGTTAGGTTAGGTTAGGTTAGGTTAGCGTAAAGACTGGAAGCAGGACTGAAAACACTTTGAATGTATAAGAAGAAGTGGGTACTTGGGTCTATAGAGCAAGCGCAATAGACACTTTGCTGACCAAACGGGCTACTTTTGGTTGAGCTGTGCTTCAAGACTGTGAAATGTTATCGGACCAAATGGATCAATTAAATTAGATATTTGTTGGGTGTTGTGACACTCAAAAAATGTATCCACTGATTTTCAGACATCTCTTTCTCAGTTTATGTCTATGGGAAAAACTCTTTTTGAGCCTAGTAGAATCATGTGACCCGAAAGTTGTAGTTACATGGTTTGGCCAATTGGCTTTAAAGTCTGGTGCACTTCCTTGAAGTATGGGAAACACAGCTAGCCTAGCTGTGTCCAAAGTTCAAAAATCCGTCCACCAGCTCCTGTAGAGCTCAAGAAGCTGTAGTTTCTGTTTGTAGTAACACCACCATCACTACCATCTAAAATATCCACATGGCCCAAATTGGGTAAAAGTAAAAAACAAGTAACGATGATGTAAGTACCAGTTTTTTGATGGAAGGTTTTTTTTTTTTGTATGCTAACAAATGAATCATTTAAAGACATCTAACACTTTAAATTCACAAAGTTCATAGCAGCAAGTGTCGGATTTTGTCTCCAAGTATGGATAGCAACCCCAGAAATATGCTTAATTCTTTAGAAAGACAATGATGGATCTGCTAAATGAGGGATTGCCGTGAGTTACTGACGCTAACGTTGTGGAAATGTAGAAAGGAAAACGCCCAGGTTCCCCCTGCCTCCAGTTTTTAAGCTTAGCTAAGCTAACTGGCTCTTTTTTTTTAGCCCCATACTTAACACATGGACGCAGGCATGTTATCATTCTTTCATTTCTTTGTAAGCGAGCAAAATTTCCCAAATCAACAGCCTATTATTTTATCTACATTTTTTTTTTAATTCACTTCAAATAATACTTCAAAAGATACTTTAATAATACTTGAATGTTTGTTTTTTCCATACACTTGAAGTGTAATTAACATGTACAGGAGGACCAGTACAGTTCCTGGAAGTTCTCCCAGGACCACAAAATTAAAACCATTTTCCTACCCTGTGGTCATCTATTTCCACAACTCGTTCACAGTATGGAAGCATCTGTCATTTGAGGAATTGCTGCACTGCAGGAGGGTTGTACTTACCTGTGCTGGGGCAGGTGTGTACGGTGTGGTAGGGATTCCGCTAGCACAGGTATGACGATGGAAAACCTGATAATTACTGTCATCTTTATCCCAGGTAAGTATAGCTGTGGCTCAGCAGTTCCAGAGTGTTGCTCCATCGCCCGAGCATAGAGGCTTGTCCAGGGACACAGGAATGGCTTTCACCATGAAGCTGCTGCGATACGGCGGTTTATAAGCCTTTAACTGGTGTAATTTTAGCTTTAATGAGCACTTGAGGAGAGAGGTATGTTGAAAATTGGTACTCTGTGCCAATAAAACATTAAAACGATGCTCCTGGCAGCCCTTATCTCTCAAAGTCTCCATCATTGCTCCACTTGTAGACTTTTCAAGTGTAAATCCTTCCCTGTGGTGGCTGCAAATGTACGGTTATATTGTGGGTCTCAGTGGTCGCTGTCCCGTAACTGAGCATTTACACTCCCAAATATGTGTGTCATTTAGCACCTACAGAACATGATGGTGGGAGGTGGAAAAACCGAAAGATGATTTAATTCTGTCAGAGACATGAAGACATAGGAACTAACATATGTTAAAAACAGGCAAATTAACATAAATTTATAAATCTTTAAAGAGTGTGAAGGTCCCATATTGTACAAAGTTGATTTCCATGTCGTTTTTATTAGAAAGCAGGTATAGTTTCTCTATAAATACTGTCAAAGTATCAAAACACTCAATCCACAAACAAATGCACACATATTCAGAAACTGTGAATTTTAAATAAGCCATCAGGACATGAAGTTGTGATGTCACAACTATACAGACCGTTTCAAACTTTAAACATTCAGAGTTAGTCCCTTTGTATATCCTGTTGAAGTGTTTTGCTGTGCATATGAATACATTAAATCACCATACCATCGCATTTAAAACAATAACCACCTCCGGGTAGACATCTGGCAATTGATTTGAACAACGAAGATATGTAAAATCGGCAAACTTGGGGGGGGGGGGGTGGATGTCATTTTCAACCGTAACAGTATGTTAAAGGTATTTGGTTAAAATGGTGGTCCAACTTGTCGGATGTTTCGACTGGGTTTTTTTTTTTTTTTGTTATTTACTGTGTTTCTTTGCTCGTAACTTTCATAAACCCAATCTACCGGCACGGAAGCTAAACAATATACTGCTGCAGACTGAGGCCCAATTAAAACTTATTTTAGCCCACTAAAAGCCCTACCTAAAAATCAATATCAGTTTAGGTGATCGCTATATTTAGCATATTTTCTTCGCTTTACTCTACACACCAACCAATAAAGACAGAGGTAAACCAGCTGTGTTCTGTGATGTAAAAGGATTGCTTTTGTTAATGGAATCTGGTGGACTTGAGATGATGGATTCAATTTTCTGTCGAAAAAGGCTGCTAAGGCTGTCAAGATAAGGTGGTGAAAAGATTCTAAATTTAGCGTATACTTTAACTGATTTTGATTTTTTTAGGTGGCTGAAAATGAACTAATTCAGGCAATGTTTGCTCAGCACTGTTTGATTTTCAGTACATCACACGAGGAGGGGTTCTACCCAGATGTCAATGTAAACAGACATTGTGAGTTGGTCTATTACATCAGCTGAAGAAAGTAAACATGGAGTCAAGCTGTTGCCAATGCAATTCCATTAAAGCAGTCTGTAAAGACAGAAAGCGCTGTTACAGTGCCGTTACATTCATTCCCCCAGCTGCAATGACAGTGCAGAGACACCAAGGCCCAATCCCAATACCCCCCCCCCCCCCTTGTCCACTACCCCTTAGCCCTTGGCCCTACCCCTAGCCATTGCCCACTACCCCTTGGCCCTCGAAATGAAGCAACAAGGGGTAGGGGTTGAAATCTTTCTCTAGGAATTGGGACACCACTCACTACGTCACCACGTCAGTTACGTTCACGCATAGGTAACTATTTTAAACAGGAAGCTGCGAGCCATCTACATTTCCAACCGGCATCTACAATGGAGTCTCCGGTTGAGTTCATCCTACCTATTGCGTTTGCTGTATTCATCATGCTTCGTTTGATGAATGACAATTGACAGGGGACTTCTGCTAGCTAGCTAGCTAGCTAACCAGCGAACATTACGAGGCAGCATAGTTATGCTAGCTGGCGTGTTATCGTAATGTGAAAAATCCGACAATTTTGCATAACAGGACAGATGACAGACGCCAGATAGTGCGAGCTAGCTAGCTAGCTAACAAGCAACCTGACGACGGTAACATTAGCTATGTATGAACTTTTTCCCCGTCTCTTGCTCGGTGGTAGCCATGGCGACGTCTACCCCTCGCTGGCAAGTCAGCATCTGACATCCCTCGCTTCGAAGGGGGTGGAAGACCCAGAAACACTGCCCAGTCAGAGCAGACTTGGGTTTTTTGGGAGGGGGGCTTAAAGAGACAGGCGCCATAACAGCGTTGAGAGCGTAAGAGGGTTTTAGACAGAAGGTGAATACAGGTGTATTCAGGCTGACAGTATGAGAAAAATAATATCTTTTTTGAACATTAAAGCATGTAAACATGTTGCAGCAGAAACACACAATACAAGTATGAACCTTAAAATGAGCATGACATGAGACCTTTAAAGGGACATTGTGTAACATTTTCAGTTGTTTATTGGCAAAAATTGATGCCTGCATTCATAAATATGTCATCACTGGTGTACTATTACCTCCACCAATAATCTGACTTATTCTTGTGAAAGGAGAATTTCGGATTTGTTTGTACATTGTGCGGGTAAGTCGTCTGTGGGGTTCCATTACGTTTCGCCATCTTGAGAATACACCCGCCAGCAAGGGACATACAGCACCGCCTTTGGCGTTTTCGTTGAGAGCCAGGCCAGCACTGCGTGACTGAGGAGCTGAAGGAGAGGAGCAAGAGGCGCTTCGCAACTACCCTGGCAAATTTGAAACAACGTCCCACTCTTTGAGCATAATGCAAGATCATGCATATGCAGCATCATGGGAGACGGAATCCTTGTCACCAAGAAAGCGCAAAAGGGAACAGAAAAGGCAGCGTGACCGGCGAATTAAAAAAACTAAGGCCCACATCGGGGTAGCCTTTCCCAGGTAGAGAGAGCTGCTGAGGGAGAATGGTAATGCAATCACAGGCCAGCGCTGCTGTTGGCTGTTAGCCGCTGTTAGCGGCCAGTCGCTAACAGCCTCATCCCTCTCCTCGCATCACTGCGCCGCTGTTAGCTGTTAGCCACTGTTAGCCGCTGTTAGTGGCCAGTCGCTAACAGCCTCATCCCTCTCCTCGCATCACTGCGCCATTGTTAGCTGTTAGCCGCTGTTAGCCGCACAGCTGTTAGCTGCTGTTAGCGCTGGCCTGTGATTGTATTACCTTTCTCCTTCAGCAGCTCTCTCCACCTGGGAAAGGCAACCCCAATGCTGGCCCTTGTTTTTTTAATTCGCCGGTCACGCTGCCTTTTTGATTCCCTTTTGCACTTTCTTGGCGACGAGGATTCCGTCTCCCGTGATGCTGCACAATACATGATCCTGCATTATGCTCAAAGAGTGGGACTTTGTTATGCGGCAGTAATGCCGCTGGCCACTAACAGCTGTTAGT